AGTCTGATTTTTCTCAAGAGCTTTCATCTCCTCTTTTATAGCTTGGACCCACTTAGGATCTTTCAATGCTTCAGAGACCTTGGTTGGAATATGGATAGCAGACAACTGATGCACAAAAGCCTTGAGTGGTTCAGACAGCTTCTCAGTGGATACATGATTTGCAATTGGATACTTGGATGTTTTGCCAATATCAGGTGAATAGCGGTTTGGTGGCTTCCCACGATTTTGCCTGAAAGGTAATTGATATCCAATAGTTTTATCCTCTAAATGCACAAGTCTAGTAGGAGTAGTTACCTCAAGGATATTCTCAGGAGATTGGTCTGTTGGTACTGTTGAGTTAGAGGGGGGGTCTTCATCTTGTTGTTCTGTATTGTCTGTAGGTGTGAGACTCGAATCAGAAATATCTTTGTATGGATCAGGTGGGTCAGGTAATTGATCGCTATGAATGGGCGATTGGTCACTTTTCGGCATAGAGTAATCTTGTGCTCTAGACTCAGGATGATCAATCATTTCTGTACATAGGAGAATTTTTTCGTTTTCCAAGTTGCTCAAATTCTGCTCTTCACTTCGTATCTCCCCTTGAAGCGTAGAATTGGATGATGGGTCATGGAAGAACAGCTCAAATTCTAGAAAGGTCACATCCAAAGTGACATAGGTACGTCGGGTAGGAGGGTGATAACAACGGTAACCTTTCTGATGAGTGGCATAACCCACAAAAACACAACGAAGCGCACAGGGATCAAGTTTGCTACGTTGATTTTTGTGGAGATGAACGAAAGCCACACATCCAAAGATTCGGGGTGTGAGTACCAAAACAGAGGGCAGATGTTTGTGTTGCGCAAGCACTTGTAAGGGAGTTTTAAAGGTCAATACACCAGAAGGCATGCGGTTGATTAGGTGAACTGCAGTGACAATAGCATCATCCCAGTGATGGCGAGGAACATGAGCTCCAATTAGAAGTGCTCGAGCGGTTTCAAGAAGATGTCGATTCTTTCGTTCAGCAACACCATTTTGTTGCGGTGTCTGAGGACAAGTCGTCTCATGGATAATTCCATGTTGTTGGAAGTAAGTCTGAAAGTCATAATTGACAAATTCTCCACCATTGTCGGAGCGAAGAATCTGGATTTGAGCATTAAACTGAGTTTTCATCTGTTTGTGGAAGGACTGAAACCGGGAAAACACTTCATTTTTATTCTTCAGCAAATAAAGCCATGTCATCCGTGTACAATCATCTATGAATGTGACAAACCATCGAACACTAGAAAGAGCAGTGATAGGTGAAGGTCCCCAGACATCAGAGTGAATTAACGTAAATGGAGTAGTACACTTGTTCGTACTCAACGGGTAGGGCACACGGTGACTCTTGGCCAAAATACAAGTATCACATGTGAAGTCGGAGTCCTTGAAACCTGAAAATAAATCTGGTATAAGATGCTTCATATAACTAAAAGACGGATGTCCCAATCGACGGTGCCACAACCAGATTTGCTTTTGTTTGCTATCAAAGGGATGCGTCACACTGTTAGCCATGCCAGGACTGAAGTCATCGACATAATATAGCCCCCCTCTCTTAGTACCACGACCAAGAATCTCCTTAGTGTGAATATCCTGAAGCAAACAAAAACTCGGGTAAATAAGTACACAACAATTCAATTGTTCAGTAAGCTGACTAACGGACAACAATTTAGTGGATGAAGATGGAACAAGTAAAGTATTAGACAGTGTGAGAGAGGATGAGAGTGCAACAGTGCCAGCTCCTGTCACAGGATAAGTAACACCATTGGCATTTGCAATACAGGTTCGTCGAGGTTGTGTAGTATTCAGAAAATCATCAGGATCAAACGTCATATGATCAGTTGCACCGGAATCAATTATCCAACTCCTGGAATCAATCTTAGCGGAAGTATGGAATCCATAACCAATACCATTACTGGTCGTATTGCGTTGTCCTCGATCTTTAAGAGTAGCCCACCAATCGGGATAGCCATGCAATTTAAAACAAGTCTCACGAGTGTGTCTTGGATCACCACAAAATTCGCAATCTGGTCCATGTGTCGGGGTCGTTAGTCGAGAAGTCATAATTTGTGCAGCGGAAGATGTATAGGATACAGGTTTAGTAGGAATTCGGATCGGGATCTGAGCCTGAGTCGGGGTCGGAGTCGGAGTCGAAGTCGGGATCGGGGTCTGAATCAAAGATAAATTCGAGGTCGGTGTAATAACCCAAACCCAAAATTAATATTTAATTATTAATTTATTTGGAAAAAAAAGACTAAAATACCCCTAGAATATTTTATTAGTTTAAAAGTTGACTTTTTGACCGGGAAGGAATTTGAGGATTCCAGTTGTACCGTTGCGTAGAGCGCGACAAAACGAGTCCGTAGACATGTAGTGGACTCAAATCGGAGTTGTAACGAAGGAGTTACGAGCAAAAGAAGTTCAGTGGCATAACCGTAAATATTTCGAAGTTCAGATTTTATAAACCCAGTTTTCTTCTCCTCCTCCAGTTCGACGAGCCGACTTTAGGAGAGGGTCATTTGAGTGCAGCCGTTTCTCTACGATTGCATTTTAACTCTAATTTCACAACATATCAAATGATGCAGCTACTGAGTATATTTTAGAATTGAACTCAAACAATTTGGCCTGGTTTGTGTAAATTCATATTAAATGAGTGTTTTTTAAATTGCTTTTAAAATTAATAGTATAGCCGCGAGGTGTTTTTATTAAATTTATTCCAATTAATAGTACAGCCGTGCGGCTATACTATTTAAATATGATATATCAAAGATAGTATAGCCGGGCAGCGATAATCCATTTTTATTTTTAAATTATTCCAATGAATAGTATAGCCGGGCAGCTTTACTGGTTAAATATAATATCTAAACATTGTATGGCAACGCCTTTATACTCCCTGTTTTTTTCATTTTAAAAAAAATAAAATAATAATAGTCTAGCCGCGCGGCTATACTTTTCAAATATAAAAATTAGGTCGGATATCTTCTTTTCCCCAGCGCCTTCTCCTTCCTCTCTCTGTCTCTGTCTGTCTCCCTCTCCGTCTTTCTTCCGAGCAGGGAGCGGATCCTGCGAACTTCAACCGCCCTTCCTCCAGGCCTCAAAGGCAAAACGCCGGCCCAGACCCTCCTAGAGCGCCTAGGCCGCCTAGGCCGCCTAGGCCGCCTAGGGCCGCCAAGGGCTACCTAGACCTTCCTTGAGTGCCTAAAGCCACCTAGGGCCGCCTAGACCTTCCTGAGTGCCTAGAGCCGCCTAGGACCGCCTACATCCGACTAGGGACGCCTAGAGCCCGCCTAGACCCTCCTAGGGCCGCCTAGAACCGCCTAGAGCCGCCTAGGCCGCCCAGACGCCACCTAGAGACGCCTAGGCCGCCTAGAGCCGCCTAGGCGGGAGCCCCAGACGCCGCCTAGCTCCCTGGCGCCTACCCCTGGATGCCACATCCTGGAAGGGTACCTCTTGGTGTACCGGAACTGACTTAAGTTGGTTCGAAACTGAAAGATAATGAGCTTTTGTTTTCACAGTCATGTGGCAGGTCACTAGTGAATCAACCTTCCTAGTCTGATGATCTTGTACTGAAATACTAACTGATAGGGTGCATGCAACCTTAGGCCATTTCACTTGATTTTGTTCCATCTCCTGCATTTAAACATGTTTTTGCGTATGCACTTTTTATCTTTGAAGTTGCTGAATCACTTGCTATGGAACCAGACCTTATTTGCTATTATTTTGGGCCAGCTGCAGTAGGTGCCCCTTGAAAAGTCTATTAATGTCTCCATTTATATTAAAAATCCCCAATTAGAAGTGAATTTTGATTGGATGGTTGTGTCTGATACTGCTAGCAAATCATCAAAACCGAAACCAAGTAATATAGAAAGAGCTGAGGTAAATGAATTGAGAAATGCTAACGTTGTCTTGGAAAAGTTTCCATTTGAAAATGCTTCATAATATTTTCCTTGATGTCATCTTTCCTCAGTAAATTAAAAAAAAGAAATCAAATAAGGATTTTGAATAGCTGGGTCCATATTAATTCCAATCAGGATTGTTGACCTTTATTTTCCTTGACAAGTCTTTACTTTGCTGTGTTCTTCAAATCCTGACATAATGTGTTTTGGACTTTACTGTGTACAGGTGGAGGATGATGCTGGTCTCTAACTGCCTTGTTGCTAATCAACTGGTTGTACAGTGCTGTAACACCCTGGTAACTCTTAATCAGATTTTTCTTGTATATTCACTAATACAAGGACCAATTCCTGAATGCCTTTTCAGGCCAAGCAATTTATATTAAACATTCTATTCTTAATGCTCTCTCTCTCTCTCTCTCTCTCTCTCTCTCTCTCATGATGTACGCGGGCTTAGATTTCAATAGCATTCCCAACTTAAAAAGAATGATAAGTGAAAATGGTTCTAAGTTGTAACAATTTGATTCCATTGAGCACTCTCATCTAATTCAGGGAGAATATTTGATTAATCAGTTTTGTCTGGTTTAGGATGCGTGAATGGATTTGATCAATACAATTTATAATTAAATTGAGCTATTAAGATCCATGTTTAGTCAGTCCAAGATCATAATCCCAGTCATATGAATGAAATAAATCTTATAAACCAGCTAGCTTTTCTCGTCTATACGGATTATCACTTGTGAAATAAGGAATTCTCATCTTCAAAAGCAGCCTTATAATGATCTATTAATCATGTAATTATTGAAGATAAATCCTGAAACAGAGGATGATAATTAATGAGATAAAAACAGCAATCCTAGTTGTATATACTATCCATCAACCAGTATTCATGACCAGTTCACTTCAGGCTTTTCTAATAAAATTATCGATCAGTCTTCTTGACGGCATCAATGGCAATCACCAAAATTAAGTACATGTAAAAAGGACACAAATTTTTGTTTGCTGAAGGGGGAAAACACTTTCTGTGGATTTGCTTAGTATTGTCTTTTGCCTCAAGGCATTGCCTCTAAACTCGTCTCTAACAAGGATGACATGGGTGGAAGCTTAGTCAAACTTTACAAGAGCGTTGAAAATCTCAGTGACACATACATACAACCTGCTACTAACAAGGACGAGGCCTTGCTGAAACCTACGACACTTTCTGCTGGAGCTAATGTCCTTCGGATTTTGACCGACGATGATCCAAAGGCCTGCCGAACAGTTCTGTTGTGCGACCAGTTGCTGGTATGTCTACTGTATCAAGTATCACATTGCTTATAACGTTGAACTTTAAGACGGTTGATGCTTTTGAAGAGAAGGTGGTTGATCTTGACATTGAAGAGGTTTGATATTTTTTGTAAAATTTGTTTTGTTTACAATACAGAATGTTCTCTATCTGTGTCTATTGATTGACACTACATATTTTGTTTGTGCTTTTGCTTCTTGGGGCTTGAAGCTGGTGAAGGCATCATTGGAGTCAAAAACATCTCTTACAAATGTTTTCCTTGGTAATAAAGTGCATGAAGGTTTCAACTTTGGTCCTCTAAAGAAATTGAGCTTTTGGAGGTTCATTTTAGTTTGTGGATTGGCATTAACTGTATTGGTTTACATTGGATTATTTCAACTTTGGCCCTCTGATCTTATTGGTAACAAATATTATACCGCAAAATATGGTAAAAACGACCCGACGAGTCCAAGGAAACCAATCTGCTATCCCAATGATCCTTTTGCACTGTCGTTGATACAAAAATGAACAAGGAGAACCGATCGTGCGGCTGAAGTAAACTTGCTCATCTACACTGCTCCGCAAGGATAAATGTGGACTTTATGAAGCACTGATTCTCTACGGCATTTGCACTGTTTTGTTTTTGGTTTTTCTGTTGATTTTATGTTTTGGGCCTCCATTTCTTAGTTTCTTTTCGGCACGATCAAATCTCAAACCAGTTGGCAGGAGACCAACTTTTATAACATTTCTCTGTGTTTTTTTTTGTCCATTTGGGCAGTTCTCTGTCCTTTTTGCACAAAGAGTTACAAGCAAGCAAATAAGTCGTTGATTTTCTTTTCACTCTTCTGTCTTTGCATATTGGTGGTTAACATTTGCATGAAACCTATGGTTAACTAACACGGACACCTTGCAACTCAAACCCTTGTCATGTCACACAAATTCTTACTTCAATTTCTAAACACATCAAATGTAGTTTTGTTTCTAAAGTGCAGCAGTTTTGAAGCAAGCTCTCTAAACACCCTTATCCATACTCACGCTAGCGTGAGTTTGAAGCTTCTGATTGAAGAAAAAAAAAAAGGCCCATTTTAATACAATGTTTAAGGCCATTTTACAAAACCCAACCCATTAGTTATCTTAAAAATTAGGTCAGATATTCCCAGCGTCGCCCTCTCCTTCCTCTCTGTCTCGATCTCTCTCTCTCTCTCCGTCTTTCCTAACAAGCAACGGATCCTGCGCGCTTCAGCCGCCCTTCGTCCACGCCTCAACGGCAAAACGCCGGCCCAGACCCCCTAGAGCCGCCTAGAGCCGCCTAGGGCCGCCTAGAGCCGCCTAGAGCAGCCTAGGGCCGCCTAGGCGGGCGCCCAGGTGCCGCCTAACTCCCTAGCGCCTACCCCTAATGATTAGGGTGAAATTGCGGCGGTGTCCTCCCGCCTAGCGCCTAGGCCGATTTTTCGAACCTATTTAAGATTACAGTTTTTTGGTGGAAATAAATATATATTTATTCACTCATCTGTAGATTATATTCCCTATGTATAGGTAATGACAGATTTGTATGTGTAGAGCTGCTTTGTGGTCGACTAATGATGCAGAGTCCAAGGTGACCCTCCACCTTTTAGATCCGTTCACCATTGCCATTTTTGAATAATTTTGAATTTAGGATACTTTTTTGGTGAAGGTCTGTCCTTAATATCCCCTCAATGGCTACCACCAGCAGCGCTAGCGTGAGTTTGAAGCTTCTGATTGACACAAAAAGCCACAAGTTCTGTTTGCTGAAGCAAGCAAGGAAGTTGTTGATTTCCTTTTTAAGTTTTCTGTCTTTGCATGTTGCAACTGTTACTAGGCTCCTCTCAACGGATGGTATGGCGGGTTACTTAGGCAACGTTTACCAGAGTGCCGAAAGCCTTAGTGTCAACTCATACTTGCCACTCAATCTTAAGGACACCCTGCTCAAACCCAACCCAACAATTTCTGCGGCCAATATCCTTCAATTGCCATTGCCGACCAATAGACTAGAATCTTTCTAAATTGTTCTACATTTGTGTGATGTGCAGTAACCGTATTTCTGAGAGCTATGGAATCCCTTGTCCACAGTCGAGCCCAAAATTAAGGTCCAGAAAAGGACGCAAGGGCGGTTAATAAAAACAGAGCACATATTTCTTCTTATTTTTTATTTATTTTTGTGTTGAAGGTCCATGCAAAGTATTTAGAAGAATGTATTTTGAGTTAAATTTTCCAGTTTCTAAATAGAAAAAGGGGGAATATGTATTTATGATTATTAGTTTTTGATACTTTTTTCTTTAGTTTTATTATATATAAATATAATATAATTGCTGTTTTTCCTGCTAAAGCCTAAAGGTGCCTCCTTTAACCTACTTGTTTAGGCGTGTGCGTTCTGGGTTGGGGCTTATTTACTCACTTATTTTATTACAGTTCCCTAATTTCTTTATAAGGCCTGTTGGTCCCAATTCCCCTTGTAACTGCATCAATGGCAACCAACACTGTAAGCTTGAAGCTCTTGATTGACACAAAGGGCCACAAGGTTCTGTTTGCTGAAGCAGGCAAGGACTTTGTGGATTTCGTTTTCACGCTGCTGGCTTTACCTGTTGGAACTGTGATTAGGCTCCTCTCTAAGGATAACATGGTGAGCAGCTTAGGCAAGCTTTATGATAGTCTTGAACTTCTTAATGACACGTATATGTTACCTAATCTCAACAGGGACACATTGCTGAAACCCGAGGCACCAATTGGTGGTGCTAATGTTCCTCATCTGTTGACCAATGATGAATCATTGGCTAAAATGGTGTACATGTGTGGGAGCTACCACCGCTTTATAGCTGACGATCCTAGAGCCATTTGCCCACAGTGCAAATATACTCTCTCTACCGAGGTGCCTTATGTTGCAGCACAGGCTATCACGGAAGGATCGTCTGGTGGTGGAGGAGGGTATGTGAAAGATGTTGTTACATACATGATAATGGATAATTTGGAAGTGAAGCCTATGTCTACCATATCGTGTATAGCTATGTTGAACAGGTTCAATGTTAAGGAGGTTGGTACCCTTGAAGAGAGGATGGTTCTTCTAGGCATGGATGATGTGTGCATTCCTAAACTTCTCTCAACATTTTGAACTGTGAATATATGTGCATCTTGAATATGCAAAATATATATGCACATCAATTACAAACCCCACTTTTTATTCTTTTCTTAATTGATTCAAGTTGGGAAGGATAGGATAGATACACTTTTTATGCTTTGATTTCTACTCTACGCACTCGATCAATAGACGATACAACCATCATACATTATCATGTAGGCTTTTAATCAAAGCTAATTTGCCACAGTTCATCTGCTATTATATTCTTTTGTTTTTTTGTTTTGGTTGGAGGAATTGTTATTTTGTTCAAAATGATCATTTTCTTTTCATTAATTTTTTAGGGTCTGAAATTGCTCAAGGCATCATTGGAGTCTAACGCAGTTCTCACCAATGTCTTCCTTGAGAAGAAAGAGGAGTAAACATGTCAACTTTGCACTTGATCAATTCTGGAAATGGAATTTTAGAGCTTGTTTGACTGTTGTGCATCTGAAATCGGACTAGGGATTCATAAAGAGTGTCCTACACTGTTATTTTGGAGGTTTTTTGTGGTAATCAGTCAGTTGTAAATTGATGAAATCGACTTCACCATGCTCCTTCAGAGGATTGTTTCTTCTGTTGAGGTAGCTGAGCTGACTTTTGCTAGAACTTTGGAGCTTGTGACTCCAAGATGTTTTTGAGACTCATGTATTACTCTTTTGCTGTTGAATGTTTCTTCTTCATGTTTTGCTATACTATTAATTGGACTAACAATTTGGAAAAAGACACAGCGTATAGCCGGGCGGCTGTACTCTTTAAATAAAATATATACAAAGAGTATAGCCATACGGCTATACCACCTTTCTAATTTTTTTCCTAATACCGGCTATACTCCGTTTTTCTTTATTTTTAAAAAATTAGTAGTATCGCCGAGCGGCTGTACTATTTTTCCCTTTTTTTAAATAAATAGTATCGCCGTGCGGCTATATGGTTTAAATATAATATATTAAAAGAGTACGGCTAACCGGCTATACACAGTGTTTTTTAAATTAATAGTATAGCCGAATGGCTATACGCTGTTTTTTTTTAAGTAAATAGTATAGCCGATCGGCTATAGTGTTTAAATATAATATATTAAAAGAGTATCGCTGTACGGCTATACTCCTTTATGTTTTTTTAAAATTTTTTTCCTGAAATTAATAGTATAGCCGCCAAAGCCATCAAACGTCGTTTCCTGAAATTCATTTCTCCTTAATTCAAATGAGTCTTCATATTTATGTTGATATTGGTTTCTGATACATAAATTCACATTGTAGCCAGCCAAAGCCATCAACGTTGTTCCATGCAGCTGGTTCTTGATCTTTGCCGGGGTTGGGCTTGGTGGAGTGAAGCATGAGGTTGCATGCTGCAACAGCCTCTGCAACTGTGAGATAAATCCATTCTTGACATGTATTCTCAATCAACTCTGACTTGTTCATCTTCTTCATCACCTCGCTTCCCGGGTTCGCCAGTACAAGCTAAACACAGATGGGAACAAAATTACAGAGTTATATAAACAGATGAAATAAAAATTTGGAAGGAAATATTTGAACATGGAAGGTGGCCCTGTCTTCTTTGGCAACGTGTTTCTTGACAGCCCTGAGAAGGTGGCGGTACACCTTAGCAACTTGCAAAGCTTCAGCACTCATTTTCAACCTTTATGTCAGAGCTTCTTCTAAATTTGTTCTATTTCTCCACCACCCTGCCTCAGGAATTGAAGGTTTGATGCACGATCAGAAGCAAACTCCACGACAAAAACATATATTTGAGAAACTTATTCATAAGGGAAAGACGGTAAAAATTGAACAAAGCTAGTAAAAAAGTTATAAATTCAACAAGAATATCTCTTATAGATCTACATAAGGTACAAAAAAGAACAAAATACAAAACTAGTAGAAACATTAAGCTGCTGTCAATATAACAGAAGCAACAGGCAGGCCAAATACAACTACTGGCACGTTAAAAAGGATTTGATTAGGAAAGAGGGGTTTTGGGTGAAAAGGAAATGAGCATGAAACTTGGCCATAATTTAACAGTTAAAGCAACATGAATCATGAAAAATAAAAATGAGTGGCACTACAACTTCACTTAAGCTGATAGAACAAGAGCTTTTAGCTGGCAAGTTTCAGTCATTTCCATCAAAGTGCCTTGTATTGTCTATATAGCAAGGTTTACGGTGGATAAAGACAAAAGAGACGAGAGGTACAGCCAGTACTAACTGAATGGCTGCATAATTTCAGAGCAAAAAACCCAAAATGCTGCTGCCGCTACCAATTGATAACAGAGCAGCAATACAAACAAAGCCCCATCAAATACCAACTGCTACCTGTGTCCATGAAAAGGGCTCTACGTATTCTAGGCTAATGGCTAAACCAAATTAAGAAAGGGCGCAAACCAAGCTGCTACTACTATCTACCATAAGCTTTCACCATTCTATAGCAAGTTCTTTCAGGAATTATCACATATGGGTGGTCTGCAATATACCAATATCACACTAACCTCATCCAGCCAAAAGCGTAAATGCAGAAAGTTTACAAAAAGACCACATTCAATTGGGAAAAGTGTGAAACAAAAATTCGGAACGAAAAAACCCAAAAACCCACTAACCTGTGGAGGAAGCCAGTAAGGATTTGAAAGACTGTAGAGGTCTCTGGTTGTTGCAGGGTCAAAATGTACTTACTTTTTGGGCTTGCTATAAGCGGGTCCTGAATAAACAGATAAACCCATATAAATATTGCCCGTTTTATTCAACCCACGCGAATGGTCCGGGCAAACGGGTACGGGCAGAGACTCCTATATGCAACCCGGATTTGTTTTGTGTTTTTTTCAGTTTGAGTTCACCATCTTTGTTTACTTTGAACAGAAACTGAAACCATGTCGCGGGAGAGAACCAAAAGAGGCGCAAGAGGTACGCAAGCTGAGCTCGAGATTTAGCAATGATTACTCCCCTCAATGGTCCAATTCGGATCTTATTGGTTCATCAAATTTTAATTAAGAAAAACAATGGATCGGGATCCAAATTGATGGCTCTGATATTTGCATGACTTGTCGTTGAGATGATGTATTTATTACTCTTATTTTTTGCCATATATACTCCGTTATGTTATTGATGATAATGCTTAATCTCCTCCAATCCTTTCCTTGTTTGTAAGATTTTGATGGATCTCATTTAAGGCTTAATCTCCTACTATCCTTTTCTGACTTTGGCAAAAAATAAAATTAGTAAATTTGGCTTACACCCTTCAAATTCAATTTGCCGTACCTAAAACCCTTCACTTTTTGTTTATATAAATAATACCCAATTTGTATAAGTAATAAAAAGGTTTTTTAGGTTTTAGACATAAAAAAATTTTCACTTTTGGAAAAAACCAAAGCTTTTTCAAAAAAGACAAAAAAACCGCTCAACTTTCAAATCAAAGACATGCAAATGTATTGGATTCCATAGGAAATCTAAAAATAAATAAGGGCATTTTTGTCCATTTTTACTTCTTTTAAAATTTTTCTCTCTCCTTTTGCTTTTTCCAAAATGTCCCTAAGTAAAAATCCATGACTAGGATCCAACTCAGCAAGTTACCTAATTAAGCATAAAATCTTATTTATTGTACTTTTCAGATTCCAAAAATACCCCCAACTAAGCCATTATTGCATTTTGTATATTAATGTAGGAATCAATATGGAAACAGTTTTTAATTGAATTGTATATAATGACAGATGTTGAATTTGGAAAGATCTCCAAATGGTTGTAATGGATGTAAGAATTAATTTTGAAACATTTTTAAAAAAATTTAACAATAAATTCAAATTTAGGTAATCGGTTTGTTTAATAAAATGTTTATGTTATTTTCTTTTTATGAATTATACATGACTAATAATCCACTTTATAATTGTTTATGAATAAAACTGTACATACTAATTATGTTGAAAAAATAATGTACCTATTACTTGTTTGTTTTATGAAAAACATAATTTACCTAGTATGAAAAGTGTACATAATTATCTATTCCAAATAATGTACCTATACACATTTACAGGTATATTGTAAAATAATTTACCTGTGGGTAAATAATGTACCTATATTTTATATAAATTATTGTGTACCTATTTTTAATTATGAAAAATATACGCAATTACAAAGTAACTGACTTTGTTTTTTTTTTTGGGTAAATAATATACCTATATTTTATATGTATATATTTATATTATATTTTTCATTATTGGTATATATAATTGGATATGTATATTTTTTTTTTTTTTTTTTTTTTTTGTTTTTTTTTTTTTAGGGGGCGAGATGTGAGAGGGAATGACAACTAAAAGAAATGGGGTGATTGATATGCTATTAATAGGGAGTATATTAATTACAATTATGGCAGTTAATGAAATGCTTGAAATAAATTATAAATAAAATATGAAGTTTGGTGGCAATGATGTAAAAACATAGAAATACTACGACCTCTTATATCCTACTAGTCATTTAAATTTGAAATTGGGTTTTACACATAGATTTATAGAGTGATGGGTATATGTCTAGGAAATAGAAAATGTAGGGATCTATATTGGACAAGCCCTAAAATTATCAAACTGGCTATATTTAAAACACGTGACACCTTTCTGCAACTCAAATTACCTTCCGGACTCTTAAACCTCTTCCGTTCTCTCATCATATCGGAATTCATCATACACACACAATAGTTGTGATGGCATTGGCAGCCCAGCCTAAGAACCTGCAGATTGAGAATGGTGTTTTGAACCTTCCTAGGAACATTCGGTGCAACAAGTGTAGGAAATACCCTGGCCAAAGACACCAAGATCAATTCCCGCAAAGAAAAATCCTCCGGCAACTTGGTACGTACTTGGGTTGTTATAATAATCTCGTTTGGGTTTTGAAGCTTTAATTGCCCAGTTCGTATCTCGTTCTTGCTTTCTCTTTCTTCTAGTTCTAGGGTTTGTTTATTTTTGTTAATGTTGGATGCTCATGCTCGCTCCCTCTAGTTTCTAAAAGCTTTGGTGTTCTCTATTTCTTTCATGTTTACAGGAGTATTTGGGGATTAAAAACACCAGATTTCACTTCAGTTGTACCCAGTGCTCGGCTGGGATCGTCTTAAGGACAAACCCACAATTGTCACGCGTTCTTTGTGAGTCCGATGCTACACTATTTTGTGGTGATCGACTTCCCGGACGTCTTCCATATGGGCTTGAGGAGGTATATAGGTCCAATTTTACAAATATATAATGAATGCAGGACAAGAGTTGTTACCTCTTAATTCCAGTCCACAAGACCAAGTGTTTAGCCACCTAAGCAAACAGTATGTCCACAAATTTTAATGTAATTACAATTGCTGCCACTACGTAGAAACACGGAAAGTACAAACAAATCGACAAATCGCAGAATTTACATTTCCTCAAAATGTCATGCTCTTTCCAAGAAAATTTCCTCTGATTTCTTGGTTCTTTAATGGAGAGATTTGTGGGTTTCTATGTGTGATTCACTATTACAGTAGCAAATTTCCTCTGCCACTAAACGTCAGTTGCTGGTCCTGTTCTACAGGTAAATTGTATGATTGAGGTTCCTACTTTTCTATTACCCTTAGGGCATGTTTACGTATCAGTAATGGGTATGGAAGGAAAGGGAATATGATTTCCATTCCTGACTTCTCTTGCGTTTACTTGCAATCAGAAATGAAAAAATAAGTGGGCCCCACCTCAAAATCCGTAATCACATTCCCTCAAAACTAGGAATCAGATCAACTAGGGGGGAGTAGTCGATACGATTCCCATTCCTGTTTTCTCTTAATAACTTCCAAAAATACCCTTATCACTTTACCATAATTCTAAAATTAATTTGGATTCTGATTCATGCAAATTAGTAAACAATAACAATGGGAATCAATCTCATTCCATTGCTAATTCCATATGTTTAGTAAACAGCTTAATGAGAATGATTCTTCCCATACCGATTCAGTAGTTCTCCGATTCCTAAATTATTTGATTCCTTAGTTTCTCCATTATTGATACGTAAACATGCCCTTAGTTCCTCCATTATTGATACGTAAACATGCCCTTAGTTCCTCATACATACCAATGCCATAGGTAGGAGAACGATTGTATGATTTGGCGTCAGTTGCATTGAACGATTGTTTCAACCATTCCAATTCTGTTTTATGGTTTTAATTTTAAATAGGAAGGGAACCATTTTTGTTTTGTGTACCTAGAGAAGAGGAATAGTTAGGGGGTTTCGTTATGATTAATTGGACTGATTCTTAGGTATAGGCTTGGGCGAACTCCGTTGGTCTAGTTTACTGATTCATAGGTATTCTTTTCTTAGAATAAATTTGTCATATATCAATTATGAAGCAAGGGGGGCTATAGAAGGAAAAGAAAAAGAAATTCGGTGTGTGGCATAGAAGGAACAGAAAACAAAGATGAACTGGTTTCTTCATCTTTTTCCTATGGTATAGGTAGAGGAACCCAACTATATTTTCATGTTTCCATCATTCCAGCCTCTAGGTAGAAAACACGTTGGTAATTCATGCTTATAGGTAAATAGAGTATCCATAGATATTCAACGTCTTGTTTTATTTAAGTAAATTTAGGTTTTAGCCAAAAAAAAATTTACTTTTGGAAAAAGCCAAAGCTTTTTCAAAACAGACAGAAAAACCTCTCAACTTTCAAATCAAAAACATGTAAATGTAAAGGATTCCTTAGGAAATCCAAAAATAAATAAGGGCAATTTAGTCCATTTTGGCTTCTTTTACAAAATTTCTCTCTCCTTTGTGTTTTTCCAAAATCTCCCTTTTATTTATATGTTAACAAAAAGGCAAAAAAGACACCAAAACCAACTGAAAATTAGAAAGATAAAGTTGATAACAAAGTGTTTCATTTTCAACAAAATACCTATATCTGTGTTACAGGTAAATTGGCATGCTGGTGGCAATTGGTTACCTATACGGCAGGTATTAAACCCAAATGTACCTATCATATAGGCAAAAATAATCTCATAAAAACAAAATGTACCTATGATATAGGTGAATGTATTCCAATACAAGTAAATAGACATGTGCTATAGGTACATGTGTCGAAGGTTTACCTATACAACAGGTATTAAACCCAATTAAGAAGTATGAAATCTGCAGAAATTGGCTTGACAAGACCATGATTTATTGTGGAAGGCGTGATTTTTGCAATTTGCTAATTTTGCCGTTTGTTCTTGCCATATGAGGATTTTTGTCATTACTTACCTGATTTATATCTTATGGGGTAAATTTGGAACGACAACATAAATAAAAAAAAGAAAAAAGAAAAAATATAAATGTCCGAAATTAAAAAAAGGTAACTAATCCTATGTGGCACAAAAGTCAGAGGACTTGAATTACTAACAATAAGTGTGTGGATTGCACCCAAATTCTGTCATAAGAATTGGACTTATACCGAATTATTTATAAAAAAAAGGAACTAAATACATACATAGACATACAACTATATGATGCATGCATGCATCATGTTTTCCTGTTTTTAGATTGCCTTTTACTGTTGTCACATTGCTTAACTAATGATGACTCAGGAGTCAAACTGGCATGAGAACAGAGACGAGATCTTAGCCCAACGGATTTTCATGGTAGATGCCTTACCTTAAATTTGTACTTGTTATATATATATATATATATATATATATATCAGGTTTTAGATTGCCTTGTACTCAATTCATATATTTATACTTGTATTCCCATTTCAGCTGGGGCAAAAAAAAACATAAGAGGAAGATGGAAGAAGTCGGGGATGCCATGAAATCTTTGGATTTGGACAGAGAGATTTAGCTGTTTTCCGTGAAGGTATATATTCCTGTGTGTGTATTTGTAATCATAAACTAAAGCATCTCGTTATTGTGTATTGTGTGTATATATATATATATATATCTAATTATGATGATTTTGCAGATGAAGAGAGAGAAAGGGGACGCAGATTGTCACAGTTGTTTTGGTCGTTCAGTAGTAGAAAGATGAATTCAAAGGCAGAGATTTCTAAGGTGGCTTGTGATTGCTCGGTTCAAAAGTTTACTAGAGAGTTTAGAGAGAGTCCAGCTACTATATGTTATGTTCTAGATCTGTAGCAGAGGTTCTTTTTAGCCTCATGAACATCAAAATTATTAAATAATTTCATTAACGATACATTGTTCTTAATCAGGGATTTGGGATTTAAATTGTCTAAATGATCTATTACTCCCATCATGGTATGATATGATTCACAATGCCTAATCTTCTTTATGTCCTTAGTAATACATTTCTCTATGAAAATTTGACGATTCTCTTAATATTTGCCTCTTCGTCTTTATATCCTTTGCTTCTTGAGGAAACTTGATGGTTCTGATAGTCTGATTTATTTCATCTTGTTCCTATTTTCGATACCCGTCCTGTATAACCATCGTAGATTGTTGAATTGACTAGTTCCTGAAAATTTAACTGCATTGAAGGCAGAAATAGTATGCCGGCATATATTTTCCCTGGAGGCATATTTTCTCTGCCTGAATAGGATGTTGTAGATTATACCCAACTAAATCTCAAGGCTGCTACAAAAGTTCAATGTGAAGGGGATTGATGCACTTCAAGTTAAGGGAGGTTTCATATCCTATATATTTCTCTAACTCTTATCAATGGCTTGTTGATAGAGCTAAATGTCTTACTTGTATATTTCTCTCTCTCTTGTAGGGTTTGAAGTTGGTGAAGGCATCGATCATTGGAGTCAAATACCGCTCTTACCAATGTCTTCCTTGGAAAGAAACAGCAAAAACTTTTCAACTTTGGTCCTCTAGAGACATTGAGCTTTTGGGGTTTCATTTTGGTTTGTGGATTGGGATTTCTATTCTATTACTCTGGATCATGTAAACTTTGGTCCATTGATTCTTTTGGTTTCATTCATTATATCTCAAGAAAACTCATCCGCCATCGCAACAATCATTCAACTTTATCGTTGATCCAAAACAAATAAGGAGGCCAATTTTTTACTGAGGGAGGTTGAAGAAATCAAGCTCATCTATATATACTGATTCAAAACATCGGAAGAAACGGATGAATTGTCAAAGCCTATCCTGCTGATTGACACAAGGGGTCATCTGAGTGCAGCCGTTTCTCTACGATTGCATTTTAACTCTAATTTCACAACATATCAAATGATGCAGCTACTGAGTATATTTTAGAATTGAACTCAAACAATTTGGCCTGGTTTGTGTAAATTCATATTAAATGAGTGTTTTTTAAATTACTTTTAAAATTAATAGTAGAGCCGCGCCGTGTTTTTTAAAAATTTATTCCAATTAGTAGTACAGCCGATCGGCTATACTATTTAAATATGATATATCAAAAGATAGTATAGCCGGGCAGCGATAATCCATTTTTAAAAAAAATTTATTCCAATGAATAGTATAGCCGGACGGCTATACGGGTTAAATATAATATCTAAAATAGTAAGGCCACGCCTTTATACTCCGTGTTTTTTTTCTTTTTTTAAAAAATTAATAGTCTAGCCGAGCGGCTATACTTTTCAAATATAAAAATTAGGTCGGATATCTCCTTCTCCCCAGCGCCTTCTCCTTCCTCTCTCTGTCTTTGTCTCTGTCTCTGTCTCTCCGTCTCTCTCCGTCTTTCTTCCGAACAAGCAGCGGATCCTGCGAACTTCAACTGCCCTTCCTCCAGGCCTCAAAGGCAAAACGCCGGCCCAGACCTCCTAAAGCCGCCTAGGCCGCCTAGAGCCGCCTAAGGCTACCTAGACCTTCCTTGAGTGCCTAGAGCCGCCTAGGGCCGCCTAGACCTTCCTTGAGTGCCTAGAGCCGCCTAGACCCTCCTAGGGCCGCCTAGAGCCGCCTAGAGACGCCTAGGCCGCCTAGAGCCGCCTAGAGACGCCTAGGCCGCCTAGAGCCGCCTAGGCGGGCGCCCAGACGCCGCCTAGCTCCCTGGCGCCTACCCCTGGATGCCACATCCTGGAAGGGTACCTCTTGGTGTACCGGAACTGACTTAAGTTGGTTCGAAATTGAAAGATAATGAGCTTTTGTTTTCACAGTCATGTGTCAGGTCACTAGTGAATCAACCTTCCTAGTCTGATGATCTTGTACTGAAATACTAACTGATAGGGTGCATGCAACCTTAGGCCATTTCACTTGATTTTGTTCCATCTCCTGCATTTAAACATGTTTTTGCTTCTGCACTTTTTATCTTTGAAGTTGCTGAATCACTTGCTATGGAACCAGACCTTATTTGCTATTATTTTGGGCAAGCTGCAGTAGGTGCCCCTTGAAAAGTCTATTAATGT